GAAACACGACCTACTAGGGTGAAACATACCTATCATATTTCTATCCACGACAAATCCACAGTTGCATTTCTATATAGTTTCTTCAAACAAATAGAGGTAACTTGTTTACTCTTTGACCACCCACGAACGACACGTTATCAACCGAGAAGTAACAAAAATCCGTTGACCGTGGACTTGAGGAGCTGGCAACTTTTAGTCTTATGAAAGTGTAGTTGTGATTGTCACTGCATTTTTACACGCTCTATATAAGACCCTCAAGTAACAAGACAACGTGCTCTCATGCAGTTCCGTTATCTCGCTCAGTCGCCGCGCCTTGATGATGATGATCTTGAGCGTATCTCAAGCGCATTGCAGGAGTTCCATGCACACAAGGACGCGATTATTGACGCTGGGGTTCGCCGGGGGAAGGGCAATAAACCATCATCCACTGGCATATACCCAAGCTGGAACTTATGCAGAGCGTTGTTTCCAGTATCCGCACCTCTGGCGTCACAGCACAGTGGTCCGCAGATATCACTGAACATGCTCATATCACCGAAGTCAAAGATCCCGCAAGGTCTAGCAATAACAGAGAATACGATCCTCAGATATGTCGACACCTGGACCGCGCGGAAAAGTGTCGTCGGTTCGAGCTCGCCACGAGCCTTTTAGATCTTGAGCAGAGTCACAGCGCTGAGGTGCCAGAGGATGTAGACCCTGATGGTGATGACCCCAGCATCGATAATGACATTGACGCGCATGATGTTCCCCCCGAACTGTCTACATCACAGCAACCTCGTCCAGTCACGAACTATTTTGTCATGGCTAGGGCTCTCCAGTACAAGACAGAGGGTTCAGTGCCTGTTCCGTTGCGTTCATTTAGCTTTGCACGCACCGCCTTTCATCTTGGGTATCATCCGTCCATCAGGAATATCACCGTCGATGAAGCCGCCATCAAATTTGGCTTACCCGACCTGCGACCGGCCATTGCTGACTTCCTCCAGCGTGAGGCGACTCATGGATATCAGCATGTTCACGCGATAGGTGGCCCAAGGAGATCTGGACCTACAGCTGCCCTTCCTTTCAACACAATCCAAGTCTGGTTTAAAATACGCTTACAAGAGACAGACTTGCACGATGATCAGATCATCAAACCCGCACAGACACTCAATTGCGCTCCACCCAATGGCCTCTGGACCTTGGGTCGTTATGACACAGCTATTGTGGTGACAAACGCAGGTTATTCATGGCCTAGTAGCCGTCTCTCAGGTGAGTTTTCTGTCTTGTGCAGCAACACTTGTCCTTACCTTTGCTACTTGCCCTGCAGGTCACACTGTCGCTCAGATCAGGCTTATCATGCGGCCTATTTATAAGAGTGGCACGCAATGGCCATGGAAAGATCAATTTCTCACCTATGTTCAACGTTTCGACTTACTGAGTGATCGTGATCCCATTATGCAACTGCACCTGCTCAAGCGAGCAAAATGTTCGAATGGAAATCGGATGGGGGATGTCATACCCGTCTCTCAACTGCGGGCGCCTGTCAATCTGATCCCTCGGTTTGGAGCCGCTGCAGATAAGCGCCTCACTGCATATAATAGCATGGAACATGCCGCGGAGTTTTGGTTGAACGAGTTTTGGGAAAAAAGTAAATTCTTCGCCCTTTCAGCATAGTATCTAGTTCGAGATAAGACCATTTTGCGACCATCCTGTATAGTATTGTAGTGCCTGCCAATGTTTCAAGACGTACCTGTTTGTCCGTCCTGCGCACCATGCCACTCCGTCGTCACCATCGAACAATTGACCTGGGGAAGAAGCTGTCATCCTTCATGACAGCTCCCCCAATACACAACACCCAAACGATGGATAAACTCACAAATTCTGAACTTAACCGCTTGATCCTTGAGGAACGTCAACCTACCAACATAAAACGAACTCGGTCACCTCTTGACGTATATCTTCCAATCCTTCACTACTGAAATTCCTGCAGCAGAAGAACTTGTAATTCCTTTGAGCAGGGTTCCGCAAGCTGCAAGGGTCGAGCATCTTGATACTTTGTTGTTGATGGGACTCCCATGATCAACCTGTATGATACTAAAAGCGCCGGTGGAATTGGATGCTTCCATCATCGTATGAACCACAAAAAAGGAGCAGGAAGAAGCCGAGAGCAGCAGGGAGAGTGGGTCTTGGTCGATGAAGCTACAAACACGAAATTCAGCCCATACCCCACCCGCCAGTAACCTTACCGAAAGCGACCTCTCCGAGTCCATGTCGGCTGATGGGGGAAGTCATCACAAGCCATCCAGCGACTCATCAGACCCATCCAACGATGGGAATGAACTGATAGTAGTTGAGGAGGACCTGGATCAATCATCAGCGACAGAGTATATCTTCGGGTCCTTTTTCAACGTCGTCTCTGCTTGTGCTACTCACAAAAAACATGGGCTGCGAAAAACACAATTGTCGCGCAAATGGAGTGCAGCGAACTCATCGCGCCCAGTACCTGGCGATGCGATCAAGCGTAAACCAGATCTGGCCTTATTGGACGATCTGGAGGCCCGATGGGACACCATCAAGGCAGTATGTGAGCTGACCACCCCCGTACACACCTGCTGGTACCCTTGCAAGGACTCTCGACACTAAAGCTTACCTGCTTCTGAAACACCAGCCCTGGAGAAGGTTCGCTCTGATGATCTCGTTGTGCGCTGGTTATCGCGAACTTCGTGTCCACTTATACGACCACTCAGGCGGCGTCGTAAACGCTTGCACTCACATCGATCGACAACCTGACAAGTACTTACAAATCTTATCGAGCATCGTCTTTGGTGATCTCGAGTGTATCGGGTATGACCCCTCAATAAACATC